GCCCGCGGGGAGCTGGGCTGTAGAGGGTGTGAGTGGTCTCACGGGTCTTAGGTGCGAGCCTGGCTGGCTGGGACTGGGCTGAGGGCTCAGGGCACCAAGGTCTTGACGCAGCCCCTGGGCGTCACTGCCACTGCCGAGGGCCGAGGGAGGGGTGTGGCATCGACTTTGCCCCAGGAGGTGGGGACCCCGATGAGGCCCCCTTAGGCCAGACATCTCCAGCCTCACCCTGCTCCTAGGAATTGGGGCGAAACCTCCTTCCGGGGCCTGGGGCCTCGCAGATAACTGCCAGGGAGGCTGGGAGCTGAGGAGGGCCCCCTAAGCAAGGAAGCTTTGGAGCCCCCGAGGGAAAAGGGGAGATGGAGGCCTGGCTCCAGTCTGGGGCGCGCGTGCGAGCTGAAGGTCAGAGTCCCGGGCTGTGGACTTGGGGGTGTCCTTCCCGGGGGGGCTGGGCGCTGTGAGGACAGAGGGGCACCCGGAGGGCAGGGAGCAGGTGGGGGGCCAGGCCGGGAGAGCGCGTTGCACGGCAGACTGGGGTGGCGTGCCCAAAAGGTGTGGGAAGTGCATCCCACAGAGACGGGCACAGAGACGGGCACAGCGCCAGCGGGCGCCTGGCAGCGCCGGGCGCTGTGTGCTCTGAGGCCCCCCAAGGCCTGTCGGCACCCCGGTCAGCCCGGCACGGCCTGGCAGTGCGGCTTTCGGCTGTGGTGGCCGAGGTCATAACCGGCCGCTGGGTGGAGCGGGGCCTGCTGCAGGGCTCCGGCCCCCGGGGGTCCAGGGGCAGGGGCAGGGCAGGAGGCCAGGCCCGGGGCGGCCACTGTGGCCTGGAGGCCCACAACTCACTGCTCCGTCAGCTGGCTGGTGGGGGTGGGGCACCAGGACCCCTGGCGGGCCAAGGCCCGCAGGCAGCAGCCCAGGGCCGCCCAGCCCTTCTCCGCTGCCCCTTGGGGCTGCCCCAGAGGCGTCCATGGCACAAGCGCTGGGCATCCAGGGCCCGGGGGGGAGACGAAGGGGGCCAGGGGGCTGCCTGGGCTGAGACGCCCAGGAGGCTCTTGCTGAGGCTGGAGCTGCTGCCTCGGGCCGCCCCGGGGCGCCAGGGCCCCCACGGCC